GATTATACATGCTTAACCTGCTTTTGGGTGTACACTAGCTGAAATCATTGTAACCAACTAGGTACAACCGAGCAGAAACTATTCGGAGTTTTAGATGGAAAATTGGTCCTGTGCTTCCTCATGAAATACAAGAAAAGCTCAATTTTTCAGAGAAAGAGTACTTCAGAAGCCACTCTTCAGCCATTAAGTCTTATATCTCAGAGATGGATATAGATTTAACAGTGGTATGTATGTTTCCTGTTTCATTCACTTTTTGTTGATGAACACGATTACCGGACTTTTTTGTACATTTTTTATAGGACATGGTACCCCCCAAGGATCCTTATATCCAGGTTCGGGTGCTGGAGGACATTGGTGAAGTATCTCTTGGTGACCATTCCGTGTCATTGACAAAAAATTCACTCCATTTCCTTAGGCGCACAGATGCAGAACAATTTATATCACAGGTTTGCTATCTGTTACACTGTACTTTCCCACTGTGAATGTTTCCAGTGCGAATAATATTCTGTTTAATTTTAATAGGGTCTCATGGAAGAATTTCTGGAGTAGGGATCACATATGATATAAGATAGGTATTGCTCCTCAGTCCTCACTATGATTTGTTAGTTAAACAGCACCATAAACGCAATACATTGACCAGTGTTGGCAGCATGTCTTAGACATGAAAAGGCTTGATGGTTACTGAACTCTTTTTCACCTGACATATGGCTTGTACTATTAGCTACCAACTTTGAACTTGTGTCGTGCATTTTGACCTTATTTTTTTGAATCAATGTCTGTGAGCTGCAGATTTTAAGTACCACCCACAACATTTTCTTCGCTGCTGCTGTCTGGTGGAATATGCACTCTTGAGGTTCTGATCGAGACTGCGTGAAAAAGGAAAGAACATATGCTATCTTCAGATGTTAAGGCACGAGGCAACACAAGGGACTGTGAACTGTGGACCTCCAGCCTAGTTGTTAGTGATGACTTGTAGTCTTTAGATGAATGGCTTAATCTTGTTGTATTATGTTGTGACACAATTTAAAACTTCGTAAAATTGTATAAGCAATTTTCCTGTAAGTCATGCAGTAGAAAGATGACAAGTTCTGTTCTACTGAAAATGACAACTTGATCTCAACCTGAAACTCTTTATGTTTTCTGAGTTCTGACAAACTCAACTGTTCTCTCCCGTGTTCCTTTTCCTACAACCACAGCTGTGACATCCTGAGTTGGAACTCTACCTGTTTAGTCAGAGGCAACAACTCAGACTCACGTTTCAATTACTGTCCCAAGTCTCTTTTCATCACTTTGCCAGGAAGAAAACCTAACGCAGTACATCTTTGTGCATCAACCTTCATGCTTTAGGAACATGTATTTATTTAAAGGTGTACTGGACATCACTTAGTTGAGACTGGCATCTTCTTTTGGTCACCACAAGTTTCTTGAGATGCTTTTATTCAGGGCAAACTTACACACTGGATGAGTGCAGTGTCATGTTTTTCCTGGCATAATCCCTTGTTACACATGTTGGTGCTTTAGTGTTTCCGTTTTGTTTTTTCCTGGTGTTTGGCTGCACTTTTGTGTCATTTTGATGTTTTCCACCTGATACAGAATGAATCACAATCAGTTGCGCGTTTGCGTGTATTAGTGTAAACATGATTTATATGGTAAAGCTCTGCTAAGTTAAATAGATTCTGTTGCGCATGTTTCTAGGAAAGCACACGCATCGGGTCAGAACTTCTTTTACAATGTTGTTTATGCTGAGTTACAGTGCAAATGTATGGCTTTCTCTCTGAAAAAGTTACTGATATAAGGTTTCCCTTCCTGTCTATTATAATCAGTTGTGATGCCACGTATCAGGTCTGCTATGTGTTCTCGACTTGTGCTCAAAGGGGTGTACTTTGTACACACACAAGTCAAGGGCGAGTACTCACGGTCTCAACCATAAGTTGAACTGGTCATATTTGGTTGATGTTCCCAACGAGGTTTTGGAAATGGTATCAATGGGGATCAGGGCTGCAGGTTTATAAACCAAGCACAAACACTTTCAGAATCCCCGCAAAAAAACTAAAAAAAAACAAACACTTTCAGAAACTTGCTTCCGGATTCTCATTATCCCCGTAAATATTTGTGGCTCCACAAACGACCTGCTTTCCTTAGATGGTCATTAAATTTTGCAATACAATTTTGCCAATGGGCATACTTTTGCTTATATGTAGTCTAAGGTTCCCTTATCTGGCCCTTAAATTTCCTGGCATGGCCAGTACGACAATAGCTTCTGAAACATTTCCCTGTGCTACTATGTCGATGCAGTGAGAAGCTAAATTCTTGATTGTTGTTCATGTGTACTGCTGTTCAAGCTTAATACTGACCAACCACTGGCAAACTTCAATCTTGCATACATCCAGGGCAGCCAGCAACTGCATTTCATACCGTGTGCCCTCAGTTTTATTGGTTGGTGTTGTCCTTGTGCATAACTAACTTGTAGGGCGTGGCAGCAATGTATGTATCTGCTGCCCCTACAGCAAACAAATTGGAGGTTGGCATTGGCCACAAAAAGACATGGCATGATGGTTACATGCTTCTCGTCGACTACTCCTAGCCTAGCTAAACAATGAAAAGCGCTAGGTGCTAAACCTATAAACACAATCTTTGTCTCTGTCTTCCAAGTGAAGAGTGTCTTTTCTTTTTGTCTTTTATTCCAATAATTGGGTCCATGCACTCCTTGAATTGTCAGAACTCGTCTCCAACTCAAAGAGTGCCGCTAGCTGTCTCAACTTTTAACCACCCCTCGTTCAGGCCTTCGATGGCAAAACAAGATAATTGGGGCCGTGCTCATTTACCAGTCAACAGTGGCCGTGGCCGCGACATCCCCACGAGAGGTCGCGGCTGCTCGTTCAGCGGAAGAAGATTGACACGGTTTGCGAGATCGTCGCGGAGACGGGCGCAGAGGAGGCACATGTGACCACGGATGCCACCAGCTCCTTATCAGTCTCGCCGCCCGCGCGGTTCATGCCCGGCCATAAGGCCAACTCCACCGCGCGATCCCAAATGGACGTTCGTTTTGTTCGGATTCTGTTTGTTCGGATAAAGATTTGGTGTCGTATCCGGACCTGTCCTGGGATGCGATGGCCGTGCGCCCAGCGCGCGGCCGCATCCTTTTGCCCCATCATGTCCGGGTCTATTTTTAAAAAAAAGCGACGTTTCAAATGCCAAGCCCCAGTTCACGACCCCAGTTCATCACGCCGGCAACAAAGCCAGCGGCCTACACGACCATCGCCGGCATCCGCCAGCGACCGGCAACACAGCCAGCCTCCAAAATGAATAGTTTTCCTCGCCGGCAACACAGCCAGTGGCCGGCAACACAGCCGACCTTCAAAATGAATGTTTTTTCGCCGGCACACTGCCAGCGGCCCAGCGGGCGGGCGGCACCCATGCCAGCCTCCAAAAAGAACGGCCACGCCGATCGGACGACCTAGTTCAGGCCTTCGGCGTCGAGCATCTCCTTCTGCTTGGCCTCGAACCAGGCCCTCGTCTTGTCGCTCATGTTCGACAAGTCCACGCTCATAATCGCAAGGGCCACCTCCTTCGCTTTGGTGGCGGCATTGGTGGCCTCGATGTCGAGCTGCCTCTGCCTGGCCTTGACGTTGTCGGCCTCGATGTCGAGCTGCCTTTGCCGGGTGGCCTCTTTCATGTCGAGCTGCCTTTGCCGGGCCGCCTCCTCCATGTCTATCTTCCTTTTCTTGGCCGCCTCCTTCAGCTCAAGCTTCTTTCTTTGAAGGTCTAGGTATTGCTTCATTTGCTCGTCCTTGCTTTGCCGCTTCTTCTCGTTTCTCACATCCTTTTGAGACATCATGCCATGCAAAGTGTCACGCAATGCCATGGATGAGGCATCACGTATGTCATCAACCTTGGAGTTGGTCTTGCCCCTCGGCCTCTTCAACGCCTCGCCATCTCCACCTCCGGCGAACTTGGCCGTCTTCAGTCTTCTCTTCCTTTGTAGTTCACGGTATTGGTCCTTGAACTTAGGGCAATTGTTGATGAGCGTCCAACAATGCGTAAGAGTGAATGGCTTGTCATTGTGCCGGGCCTTGAATGCCTCCAAAGATTGAAATGCCTATACCACATGATCAACAACAAGTGAACATGCAAACATATACACGACCGAAGTCTCATGGCCGTAGCAACGGAAAGGGCAAGAAAGAGGAGAGCATACCATGTCCCCAACGCCGAGTCCACTCATGGGCCGTGTTTTAACGCTCTCAAATGCGGTGCAATACTTATTGCACTCTTGTTGGATGAATAACCATCTTTTTTGAATCGAGCCGATGCCACGGTTGCTTATAATTTGATAGGGCTCAAACATCTTCCTTTCATGGAATGTTTTGTAGACTCTCGTCCAAAAAACAATGCCCTTTTGTTGCGCGCCGGTCCTTGGATCTTGGCTAATCTCCATCCAAGCTTGGCAAATCAACTTGTCCTCAGCTTGTGTATATGAACACGTGCGAATGCTCTTCCGCTTCTTTTGTGCTTCCGCTCAGCTCGTCGATGAACAATGGCTCGCCACTATTATCAACATCATTGCCTTCATCTTCATCTTCACCTTCGACATAGATGTCATCGTCTTCATGCCACGAATCACCATGGTCGTGGTCAGCACGGTCGTCGGCCTCTTCATCGGGCACGTACTGGGCGCGGCCATCCTGACTTTGGGTCTCCTCGGGGTCGTAGGCACGGCCATGCCCACCCTGGAAGATCACGTCCTTCATGTACTGGTTGTAGAAGGGGTCGTCGATCGTTGGCGTTGAGGTTGGCATTCCGTCAAACAACACGCGAGGGGCCGGCATGGTGCCCGTGAACGGTGCCCGCGCCTGCTTTCTTTGCATCTCGACGGACGGGCGCCCGCCGCTGCTGGACCCAGGCGTGACGTTGAGGTCGATGACGACCGCGGGGCGTGCTGTGGACGGCGCGAACAAGCCCACATCCGGCGACGCCGAGAAACGGGTCTGGCCGTCGTGCCTTGGCGGAGGAAAGCCGGGCGACATGGGCGCGGCGCGCGACATCGACGACTGGTAGTGCGTAGGTCGGGCGACCGACGAGCCTGTGCTCGCCGGGCCGACGGCCGCTGCATGGAACCTCGCCGGACGGCCGCTGCATGGAACCCCGCCGGATGGCCCATGCCAAGCATGAGGATGGCGTGCGCTTTGTTGACGAGGTCCTCCTTCTCGTCGGCAGCGGCCTTTCGCCGCGCGGCCTCCAGCTCCTCGCGCTGGGCGGCGAACTTGGCCGCGGCGGCATTGACCTTGACGGCCGCTCTCCGTTCCCTCCTCTTCGCCGAATCTGCGTCCAACTTGGCGATCTCCTCCGGCGTGCACTCCGACCGCGGCTTTCTTGGCGCCTTCTTCTTCACCTTTGCGGTCGGGTCGACGGTCAGGCCGCCGGAACTCGGCGGGGCGTCGGCCATGGACGGGGGAGAGAGGGGGCGGCGGGAGGGACGTGGGAGGGTTTGGGGGAAATGGCGCCAAATGGGCGTGGGGGTTTTGGTTTCTCCCACCGACAGGCGGGCC